GATTCTGCCGTCTGTGTTTACAGCTCAAGAATGAAACATAGACAGGGTACCAGCTCACTGTACATATAAACTTGCTTATTTGGGAAATCTAAATGGCATTTTTTGTTTTTCGTTAATTGTCAAAATTCGATTGTGTTCCTCTCCACGGCACCAAACAAACTGCATGTGTTAAAAACAGCAGGCTTCAGGCTTCCGTCCTTTTCCATTCTCTTCGCCAGGAATATTTACTGTATTGTATTTTCAAAACTGCTGAAGAACTTAGATTCGAAACTACTGACAAACTGCTGCAAGACTCAAAAAAATAAAAAAGATTTAAGCAGCCAAATTTAGTGAAAATCCCCTACGCATTCTCTCTGGCGATTTATTCAGCAAAAGTAATAGAAGAGAAAGAATAAACTTTTTTTTTAAGCTGAAAGAAATCCTTAAAACTCTCACTTTGTCTGCCCAATTCGATGACATCGTGCTGCAGCTTGGATATCATTTTGTGGATTGAAATCTGAGTCCAGAAAAATCACAGTGTCGGCCCCCGTTAGATTCAGTCCAAGGCCACCCGCTCGAGTTGACAGAAGAAAGCAAAATGTTTCTGGATCACCCTGGAAACGATTTATTGCTGCAAAACGCTCCTCCGCTCTCACACTTCCATCCAAGCGCTGATAGCTGTAGCCTAAAATAGATGAACTTTTCCAGGAATCTAGCGTATTTTTGAAAGAATTCCAATTTAATTCAGCTTACTCGTTAATAATAAATTTTTACAAAAAAGCGTGCATTCGAATTTTTAAGTTTGACTTTCATGAAGTCCAATCTGCCATGGCTGCGTCCCACATGCGGAATTACTCCAATAACATTACTTAACATCGGATACCCACATCAACTACCTGAGCAAATTTAATATTTATAGCATGTAACAAAAAATACTGGTACCTTTGTAAATCAAATAATCCTGAGCAATGTCGAGCACTCGCGTCATTTGTGAAAAAATCAAAACACGATGTCCTTTTTGATGCAAAAAAGCAAGCAAACGATCGAGCAAGAAAAATTTCCCGCTAACTTCGAACAAGTGATTGCCTTCTTCAAATGGTTCCGGCTCAACACCTGTACAAAGAGGAGTAGGTTAAATGCAGCAATCTGGTAGTACAGGCAGAACTGTATATGAAATGAATGTAGATACTCATCTCCATTTGCATAATTTTCGCTAATTTGTTCACAAAATCTTAATAAAACAATAAAGTAAAAGAAAAAATAACTGCAAAGCGACAGAAAATTTTAAGCAATTACATTATAACAACGACTAGGCAGCAGTGTCGCGGAAAAGTGGCAAGAGATTTATAGCGGAGTCCTTTGCAGGTCTATGGGCCGCGACGTCTCCGTAACGAGAATGCAGCGGAAAATCCGCAAAACCCAGTAAACCAGAGGCCGTCTCAAAGTAACGGAATATAAATACCTATGGCAAGCAACTAAAAAAGCTGCACGCTGCCTTGAAAAGCAGATACACAGTAGATGTGCTGTCAAGGTGGCCCTGCGGCGTACAAGCGCCGGCACTGTCCGGTAGTGTAGCGGATAGCACGTCGCATCTAGATTTCTACGGGAGTGGTTCAATTCCCTTCCGGTTCGTAGCCAATTTTTGAAAAGCAGTAACTGAGACAAATCCAAGATAAGCTAACAGTACTCGGCAAAAACAAAACAAATTGCCGATTTTTAACACAGCATCAAAAGAAATTGTCGCTTTCCGTTAATAAAGTTACAACAAACAACTTCTAAACAAAAAAAGAAAGGAGTTT